GTAGAAACAAGCGCGAGACACAGAGAATAATCTTTAATAGTCACAAGATAGCTATAGCTTATTCGTTGTTTAGAGTGAAGCCGTTTAWTATCTATTTGACTATAGTTTAGCGACTTCACTCTACTTGTAAGCTTACTAGTGCAGGAAGCACAGCAGTCGTACATGTTAACTCGATTGAAAACAATATGTACGACCGCAATCAAGATCCAATTAATCGAACAAAGCTTCCTATAAACATGGTTTGGTTCTCAAGTTTTGACACTTTTGGGTTCTGGTATTCAGGTTTGTAGTTCAAATATGCATAGAGTACAGTGTAAACACGAAGAAAAGAAAGACAGATTATAATACCTTTGGCATCTTGATTTTCCGTCAAGGGAGAAACAGCAAAGGAATCGAAACGAGCTACAAATTTTTGACTAAATTGCCGAGATATGAAAAATTAAAATGGAAAGGTTGCCATTTCCTAGAATACGCTTGGTCTTTGTCCAGACATATATCGGTGTGCCGTCGGGACAAAGATCAAGAGTAATCTTGTCCGCTCAACATAKTGCATTTAGAACATAAACTTTCTAATCTCTTGAAAATATTTATATATGTATTTTGGAGTTGCATTAATTCGCATTGATAACATGGATAGCTAGACGAAAACAAACACTGGAAGCGAAAACTAAGAAATATGAATCAAGGAAATGACGCATTACCTGAAATGGAAAAACATTGTTATTCTAATTGTAAAAGAGGTATTAACGTATCTATTTAAGGCACAGACACACGGGGCAACACTGCGCGCAACATCGCAGGCAATGTTACTGAAGTAGGATAGTTTTCTACTTCAGCAACGTTGCGTGCAGCTAATTGCGTCGTGTGTCATGGCTCGCAACATCGATTGCATGCAACATTGCGCGCAATGTTGCACTAGAGCCTTCATATTTTTCTTTACTAGAAATGGAGGTTTTCGGCTAAAGGGACTAAAAAACTAGCTAATGTACTAAAAAAAAACAAATGGAATGTATGATACTTAAAAACCTCTGAAACTTACCAGGGGAAGGCTAACTATCGATATATCAGATCAAATTGAAATTGAGGAACTGAAGAACCCAGAGAAAAACCTTTGAATTAAGGGAGGCTCCTAAAATTYTGCTCACATGTGATGTTAAGAAATCGAAACCCCAGAGGCGAGAGGTGAGTGGCACTGCGGCTACGCCAACCTTGAAGTGCGCTTTCGATGGTAATGAGCCAAAATGAATTGCTTGCTTGATGAGAGTATACTTGCGAAAGGACAGACGCCCAGTATATGAGTAACAGGTAATATTTATAGTGACTGACACAATATCTGACAAAAACAAGCAATAGGTAAGCAATAGGCAACCGTTAAAATAGAAGTGACATAAAGTTGGTCGGCACAAAGGTAGCGGAACATATCAGTGAACGAAAAAGAGCTGCTAAATGAATGAGATGATTAATATTTATGCCAGAAGCATACTGTACTTTCTCATAGTGAAATAAGTAAAACAAAAAGGGGAAAATTACGAAAAAAATATTCAAAAGGGTGACAAAACGGGATCGAAGCTGAAAGCGCTAAAATAAGAGAAAATGAAAACGAGTTTAAAAAGATCTTGATACTTTGAACTTTTGAAGTAATTGACTTTTAATTGTTAAGGTGGSTGACTACTTTTCAACATTCGATTGGACTCTCTATATATTTCTTATTATTTTTCGGAATAATTAGCAATTGTGAATATCGGGGAATATTTACCGAGATGCGAGTCTTTGAGCGGCGAGATAAATATTCTCCATATTCACTGAGCCTGAGGCGAATACCTGTTTTAGCATATACCAACTTGTGTAYAGAGTAACTTATTTTTATAYACAATAATTCAATAAAAACAAACAAACAGAAACTTTTAGTTTGCGTGACAAATTCACGCAAAACTTTTAGCAAAACTTTTAGGCCATACTTCGTTGCCTTTTTAGTATTGATAGGAATGGCATTTACTTTCATTTTTTCAATTTCCTCATCGGAAATYGTAGCAAAACGATTGCCGGCAGATGCCATTTTGTTGCCGACTCAATATTCCGAGATTCAGAGGTGAATATCGTACAATATTCACYTCCAATTAACCAATGAGCGCGTTTTCTTAGGAAGTACAGAAATTGGTATATGCTAACAGGTAATATCCCATTATTTTTAAAGCTTAAGACAATTCTGTTTTTTAGAACAATGTAAGTAATCGTTCTATTTGTTTTGTGCTCAATTTTTACGATAACTTGCACACCGTAGAACCTAAACAAAAACGTTTTTTTAAAATTATCTACAATAGTTTATTAAAACAACTTTTACCAGTATTTTATAAATATAGTGTAAGTTACGTGTTCGGAGAA